ACACCCCTAAGTGAAAATGTCCAAATTGGGCCCAATTAGCCATCTTCCCTCTCCGGATTCATGTGACTCATTAGTGTTACAAGGTCTCAGGTGTGAATGGGGAGCAGGTGTTTTAAATTTGGTGTTATCGCTCTCACTCTCTCATACTGGTCACTGGAAGTTCAACATGGCACCTCATGGCAAGGAACTCTCTGAGGATCTGAAAAAAAAATTGTTTCTCTACATAAAGATGGTCTAGGCTATAAGAAGATTGCCAAGACCCTGAAACTGAGCTGCAGCACGGTGGCCAAGACCATACAGTGGTTTAACAGGACAGGTTCAACTCAGAACAGGCCTCGCCATGGTCGACAAACGAAGTTAAGTGCATGTGCTCAGCGTCATATCCAGAGGTTGTCTTTGTGAAATAGACATATGAGTGCTGTCAGCATTGCTGCAGAGGTTGAAGCAGTGGAGGGTCAGCCTGTTAGTGCTTAGACCATACGCCGCACACTGCATCAAATTGGTCTGCATGGCTGTCGTCCCAGAAGGAAGCCTCTTCTAAAGATGATGCACAAGAAAACCCGCAAACAGTTTGCTGAAGACAAGCAGACTAAGGACACATGGATTACTGGAACCATGTCCTATGGTCTGATGAGACCAAGATAAACATATTTGGTTCAGATGGTGTCAAGCGTGTGTGGCAGCAACCAGGTGAGGAGTACAAAGACAAGTGTGTCTTGCCTACAGTCAAGCATGGTGGTGGGAGTGTCATGGTCTGGGGCTGCAAGAGTGCTGCTGGCACTGGGGAGCTACAGTTCATTGAGGGAACCATGAATGCCAACATGTACTGTGACATACTGAAGAAGAGCATGATCCCCTCCCTTCGGAGTCTGGGCCGCAGGGCAGTATTCCAACATGATAACAACCCAAAACACACTTCCAAGACGACCACTGCCTTGCTAAAATAGCTGAGGGTAAAGGTGATGGACTGGCCAAGCATGTCTCCAGACCAAAACCCTATTGAGCATCTGTGGAGCATTCTCAAACGGAAGGTGGAGGAGCGCTAGGTCTCTAACATCCACCAGCTCCGTGGTGTTGTCATGGAGGAGTGGAAGAGGACTCCAGTGGCAACCTGTGAAGCTCTGGAGAACTCCATGCCCAACAGGGTTAAGGTAGTGCTGGAAAATAATGGTAGGTACACAAAATATTGACACTTTGGGCCCAATTTGGACATTTTCACTTAACGGTGTACGCACTTTTGTTGCCAGCTGTGTAGACATTAATGGCTGTATGTTGAGTTATAGGAGACAGCAAATGTACACTGTTATACAAGCTGTACAATCAATACTTTACATTGTACCATCCCTTCTGATGATTAAAAAAAAGTTACTAAACTAAAGCTTTAAAGTGGAACTTCACTCTATCAATCAGGGGCGGACAGACAACTCATGGGGCCCTCGTACAATAAGAGATAATGGGGCCCCCTGTGTCTCCACCTACACTCAAGCCAAAGCCACACCCACACAACACCCAAACTACGTATTGCAGTTCAGCTGCATAGAAAGGGCATTTCAATTAATTAAAAAAAATTATAAAACAACATAGTGGGGTCCCCCCTCTATTCATACCAAGGCCTTCGGGTCTGATATGGGTTTTGAGGGGAACCCCCGCGCCAAAATTTAAAAAAAAATGGTGTGGGGTACCCCCCAAAGCACATTGTCCCCATGTTGATGGGGACAAGGGCCTATTCCCCACAATAATGGCCTGTGGTTGTGGGGGTCTGCAGGCGAGGGGCTTATCCCAGATCCCGCCCCCCATGTGAATGAGTATGGGGTACATGGTACCACAAAAAAAAAAGTGTAGTGTGAAAAAAGACAGCAGACAGTCTTTGACAAGTCCTTTATTAAAAGAAGAAAAATAAAATAATGTTCCCTGAAGTAGATCCAATGTCAATCATGATGCCCGCCGCTGCTACCCAATAAAAAAAATCTCCGCTGCTGACGCTGGCTCACATCCATCTGACTATTCTGCTGGCTTGACAGTTCCTAAATATGTAAGGGGCGGGGCCACCCAGTGCCATCACAAGTGTGGCCCCACCTCCTTGTGACACACACGTGATGTCCCCGAGTGGCACCGAGTGATTGGTCACAGCGGTCACATGGTATTGGCAATGGGCCGGTACACAGATTGGTCATCTGTGTCTGTGTCCATAGGACACAGCTAGTGACATCTTACCACAGCACAGACCCACGGGCACGTGCAAAGCAGTGATCCGGAAGGATGTCATATGCCATCATTCTCCTATAGGCCAAACTTTTTTTTACATTTCTTCAGTTACTTCCTGGTTTCCATGTCTAGGCAAATGATGTCATACATACCAGGAGTCTCCAGGAAGGGAGCAAGGGTGCTCAGCTCAGCTAAAGCCTGAGCTAAGGGCAGATGGATTCGAAGAAATAAATGCTACATGAATCACCTGCCCTTACTCAAGGTGGCCACTGACAGAAATACTAGGGGGTGTTTTTTAAAATAAATTCTCAGCAAAATAAAGCATGGAGACATGGATGGATGGGGGAGTTTGCTTGGAATATTAACAGTAAATTAAATAGCATTTTTGATTTGTGGTGCTAAGATGCAGTGTAGTTCTACTTTAAGGAGTATGACTTTTTATTTGCAAATTAAAAAAGGTTACACTGTGTTTACTTAAATCATTTAATAAAATTAGAGCTGTGGGTATTGGGGGTATGTGATGATCCCATCCCTTGTGTTGATTTTTTTTTTCAATTTTTGGGTAACTTAGGCTTTAAAGTGACACTAAACTCATATTTTTTAATAAAAGAAAATAAATGCAATATATTTAAATATAAGTAGAATGTACCTTCTATCTCTCCCCTCTTCATTTCTCAAATTCAAGCTTTTTTCTGCTGTTCTCAGACTTCCTGTTTTAGGGTGGCTACACTTGCTCTCCATGCCCTCCTTGTGAATGTGAATGTAGCCAACCTTTGCTGCTCCTCCCTGTGATGGAATTTACATCTTTGTGCACAGGGGCGGACTGACCATTTAGAAACTTGGGCATTGCCGAGGGCCCGGGTCAGTAGGGGGCCCCATGAGATGCCCCTGGTACCTTTTTCATAGGCTTTTTTGAGTTTGGGCAAGGACACAGGGGCCCCATGATCCCCTATTGCCTGGGAGCCCCATGAGTTGTCAGTCCGCCCCTGATTAAACACTTTAGGATTTTCCATACACATAGAGTGGAGTTTGTGACTGAGCTCTGCTCACACTACAATGTTATCAATATGGTGCATCTGTGGAGGATCAGGAGCACACACAGGACAAAAAGAAGCCTGGAAACAGTGGTAAGAGACTTTAAAAAGAGAAGTAGGTTTTTTTGGTCATAGTTGTCTTCTGAATCACAGGAGTGCACTTACTTGTGTTCTCTTGTGACCCAGAATCAGTCGACAATGTCACAGAGCAGCTTCAGGATTTGAAAGGTTCCCGAAAATGATGTCAGAATCCATCCAGATGTCTAATCCACAGGAGCAGCGAGTGCATTTTGGCCACCAGGCCTTAGTCATGGCTAAGGTCTGTTGGCTGGAACATGTTGGCTATTGTTACAGCTGTACACATGTAGCACAGTGGCTAAATGGTTAGCAATTCTGGCAGTATTAGGGTTGTTGGTTCGGATCCCAACCACCTGCCTGGAGTTTGCATGTTCTCCCTGTGCCTATGTGGGTTTCCTCCAGGTTCTCTGGTTTCCTCCCACATTCCAAAGACATGCTGGTAGGTTAATTGGTTCCTGTCTAAATTGTCCCTAGTATGTGTATGTATGAATGTGAGTTAGGGACCTTAGATTATACATCCCTTGAGGGTTAGGGACTGATGTGTGCAATATATATATATATATATATATATATATATATATATATATATATATATGTATATACACATGTAAATTATCTCCTAGATTGTAAGCTCGTAAGAGCAGGGCCCTCAAACCCCTCGTGGATTGTTTTGTTACTGTATTGTCTCATGTTCTGTCCCCCACTATAATGTACAGCGCTGAGCAAACCTTTTGGCGCTATATAAATACTGTCTAATAATAATAATAACAGTAATAATAAATTGATTTCACTATATAGGTACCTGTAAAAAAGGAAGACTACTTTTACATTTATCCTAGTTGCCAACTTTTCCTCCTGTGGATTACGCATTGCAGAGGCCTCACGGTCTGAGCACCAGGTTGGAGCTGTGGATTGAGAAGGTGCTAGCTCTGTTTCACTTGTTGCCTGATCAGTAGCTGGCCCAGCCTCTCAGAACATGGCTGAGAGTCTGAGCCAGCTGCTACCACCCCCTCCCCTCCCCACCAATGAGTGCTAAAAGTGTTACTAAACCCAGAACCCTGCATTCACTATATCTGGTCTCCCACAGTACACAGAACATGGAAATACAATTATTTTAATAAATGTAAAGGATATGATCATCATGTATAAATACATCATTGGTTCATATAGCGTAGAGCTATTCACCCTGAGATTATCACAGAGGACAAGGGGGCACTCTTTACGTCTGGAGGAAAATAAATTTTTATTTCCAAACATGGAAAGGTTTCTTCACAGTGAGAGCTGTGAAAATGTGGAATAGACTCCCTCAAGAGTTGGTTCTGGCTAGCTCAGTGGATTGCTTTAAAAAAGGCCTGGATTCTTTCCTAGATACACAGAATATAACTGGATACTAACATTTATAAGTAAAGTTAATCCAGGGAATATCCGATTGCCTCTCGGGGGATCAGGAAGGAATTTTTTCCCCCTGCAGGAGCAAATTGGATCATGCTTTGCTGTTTTTTTTGCCTTCCTCTGGATCAACTGTGGGTATAGGATTATAACTTTTTTTTTTAATGGTTTAGCTAGATGGACTTTTGTCTTTTTTCAGCCAGACTAACTATGCAAAAACTGCTAAACACCAGTTACAGCAGTCTTGTGACTTCAGCAGAGTACTGGTTAAAACTTGTAGGAGGAGTTTTCTTTCTGCTCTAGTAGGATGTAAAACCTCTAACCCACTCTCTGGAAAGTGCTGATTGGCCCTGTGCTGATCACATGCACTCTCCGAAGAAAAAAAAAAACCTCTCTAGCAATACACATCAAACTGAACATATAACTTTGGCTACGGGTTCAGTCTGTCTCATCAGGTGGACATTTAAACAAGAGAAGAGGCAGAGAAAACAAGATCAAATGGCCTTTTTACACAATACACAGTGAATATAACAAGCATGCTTTACTGCATATAAAGACTGATTTTTTTGTTGTGGGTTTTTTAACACTTTAAGGGGCATAGCAGAGATCAGTGACTGACTGGACTGAGAACTGAGAGATCAGCGGTCATGCAATTGCTCAGTTCTCTGGCTGAGAGCAGGTGGGGGAGCAGCTGCAGCATCAGAACGATGCTGCATCATGGAGTTGAGTATGTGTGTATGTTTTTCTATTCCCACACCCCTTTAAAACAAAAAAAAATAGAGCCATGATTGATATTTTAGAACTATTGATGTAAAAAGTATGAGTTTTAGTGTCGCTTTAAGATCTCCTTTTCTCTATTACAAGCAGAGTTTCTTATGTAACCATATTACTGGCAAAAGATGTCCAACTATTTATTTATTACAGGTGCTTATATAGCACCGTCAATTTATTATTATTTATTTATGATTTATTTCAGGTAATTATATAGCGCCGTCAATTTACACAGTGCTTTACCTATATATTGTACATTCACATCAGTCCCTAACCCTCAAGGGGTGTACAATCTAAGGTCCCTAACATACATTCCTACATACACATACTAGGGACAATTTAGACAGGAGACAATTAACCTACCAGCATGTCTTTGGAGTGTGGGAGGAAACGGGGGTACCCGGAGGAAACCCACACAGTCACAGGGAGAACATGCAAACTCCAGACAGGCGGTGCCGTGGTTGGGATTTGAACCAACGACTCTAGTACTGCCAGGTGAAAGTGCTAATCATTTATCCACTGTTACACAGTTCTTTACATATATTGTACATTCACATTAGTCTCTAACCCTCAAGGGGTGTACAATCTAAAGTCCCTAACAGGGGCGGACTGACAACTCATGGGGCCCCTGGGCAATAGGGGATCATGGGGCCCCTGTGTCCTTGCCCAAACTCAAAAAAGCCAATGAAAAAGGTACCAGGGGCATCTCATGGGGCCCCTTTGGGCAGTGCCCGAGTTTCCAAATGGTCAGTCCGGCCCTGGTCCCTAACTTACATTCATACATACACATACTAGGGACAATTTAGACAGGAGCCAGTTCACCTACCAGCATGTCTTTGGAGTGTGGGAGGAAACTGGAATACCTAGAGGAAACCTACGCAGGCACAGGGAGAACATGCAAACTCCAGGCAGGTGGTGCCATGGTTGGGAATCAAACCAGTGACGCTAGTACTGCCAGGTGGAAGTGCTAATCATTCAGCCACTGTTACGTAGCACTTTACATATATATTGTTATTCACATCAGTCCCTAACCCTCAAGGGGTGTACAATCTAAGGTCCCTAACTCACGTTCATACATACACACACACTAGGGCCAATTTAAACAGGATCCAATTAACATACCAGCATGTCTTTGGAGTGTGGGAGGAAACTGGAGTACTCGGAGGAAACCCATGTAGGCACAGGGAGAACATGCAAACGCAGGGTTTCCATTTCAGTTTTGACTGGAGTCAACTTCTATTGTAGATATGATTTTGTATACTATATACCCCCCCCCCCCCCCAAAAAAAAAAAGAAACAAAGAAAGTGAATTTCATGAATTAGAAAGTAGCCATGTACAATTCACCTTAACTGTGTTAACTTGTTGCAGCGATGATTGGGTTTGGTGCTGATGTTTGCACATGTTAAGCCCCCGCATTAGATCATTATTTTCAGTGATTATAATTGCTTTTATCTGCGTATAGTGTCAGTTTAGGGTGTGTGTTTGAATGTTTATGTGTGCACTGCAAATACATGTGCTTAGGGTGTATATGTTATGAGACTGTGATGCAGGCTGCTCTGTATTTTCTTGTGTCTCCAGGGCAGGGTTAGTTGGATTGGCTCAATGTCACACACAGATGTGACTCTTTACCCTGCAAACTTACACCGTGACGGCTGAGGAGGAGGAAAGGAAAAAGCAGAAAAAAAAAAAAAAAAAAAAAAACAAATTCTTCCAAACCCACATTCACACAGACACGGGAGCTGAGAGAGAAGCCACAGACGGCACAACTAGTCTTGGGGCAAAACTTCTAGAGTAGCCAAGTTTTCAGCTCTAACATTTCTTTTCTTTGCACTGCTTTCCCTCCCACCCCCCCTTGTGTAGGGAGCAGTGTCTGGACTAGCTGGGCTGATAAGGAAGACACAACTGCAAGGGCAGGCTCAGCAAAAGTAATTGTCTGTCTGTCTGTCAGTGTAGCCTAGAGACAGACTGAAGACTTCAGGATTTTACTGCTTTCTCTAGCCCCTTCCCCACTCCCCCCTTCAATCTTTGGCTGAATTAATCAAAAACTCTTCAAATATCCACGCACGCTTTCACTGAATCAAGAAAAAGCAGATCCTGAGTGTCACACAGCATAAACTCTTTTTTCCAGTGTAATGTCATGAAAATATGTAACATCCAGCACAGCTCCTTCAGATCTTTTTTTTTTAAGTCACTCTAGGTAGAGTAAATACACAGTGAGTGAGAGGGGATCGCAGTGCTTCCCTCCCATCCTCAACTTCATACTCCCCTCTCTCCTTCTCCTTCACTCTCTGCCCTGATGCAGTTGGATCTCTTCAAGCCTTTCCTGAACTTTTAATTTTTTTTGGCAGGCAGGAGGGAGAACCCTGCCTTCATGACCAATATTCTTGGCGTAAAGATATCTGTTAAATGAAAAGAATACCTGAAGATTAGTGACAAGTTTCGCCTGGGAAGAAAAAAAAAATAAAAAAGAAGGACCTGAAAGTTTGCTGACAGCAGAAAAAAGTTGGGATAGACACTGACAAACCCTTCCTGCTTCAGCTACTGGGGAGAAAGCAAACACAGGAGTTCTGTGGAATTAACAAGGAGCATGCAGTCATGGTAAGCTACTGCCTCCACGTAACATGGGTAGTGCGGGCGACGCACTATCGATTTGCTTTTTAACTATTTATATACAATCTGTGTCATTTGAGTATTTAAGTAAATATACATATATTAATATTATTATTATACAGGTTTTATATGGCGCCAACAGTTTGTGCAGCGCTTTACAATATATATATATATTTCTAAATATTTCTAAACAACTAAACAAAAAATGCATGATATATATATATATATATATATATATATATATATATATATATATATTTGTTCCAGTGATCAAAGGCCCTGGCGGAGTGTGGAAGATAGGCCTGTCAAAAAAACATTTATATATATATATATATATATATATATATATATATATACATTTCTAAACAACTAAAGAAAAAGCAGGAATTATATATATATATATATACACAAAAAACACATTAGCGTCAAAGTGAATAAGGAAGTATATATATATAAAATACGCGAGCGTCAAAGTAAATAAATAAATGTATATATATATATATATATATATATATATATATTTATATATATATATATATACATTTCTAAACAACTAAACAAAAATTGCATGATATATATAAATATATATATATATATGTATGTATATATATATATATATATTTATATACACACACAAAAAATACATGAGCGACAAAGTAAATAAATAATAATTATATATATATATATATATAAATAAAACACCTCACTATATATATATATATATATATATATATATATATATATATTTGTATGTATATATGAACAAATACAGGAGCACAAAAGTTATCCACAATGGCTGCACATTTTTAAACAATTGCCCACTTTTAATATAAATTTCTGAATGATGACTTGTTACAACCTCTACAAACTCAGTGCACATGCGCACATACAAACAGCATTGGCATTATGCTAGCTGTCTATTAATCTGTACTATATTAAAAAATATAAAAAAAAACTATATAAAAAAATTGAGTTTTCAATAAGTATGCTGCCGTATGTTTTCAAACAGCGTGAAAATTTGTATTTGCTGACTGCCATATTAGACATTAATTTTGCATATAAATTGTGTTCTATATAAGGATATAGAAGGATAGAAGATTGCTTGTTCACAGCGATGGGTTGCACATTCTCTCCCTTGCTAGCAAAGTTTCTTCTATAAGCCGGCAAGTGGCAGCATATTTTAGGAAGTGAAGTTGATTGTCCCTACCAGTTCTGGCTTAGTTCTGTGTTTATCACTTGCAGTTTGCTGAAATCCCTTTCACTGCTGCCCAGTGATTATCACAGCTAGTGTTTAGCCAGAGTTTGGTGCCCTGTTTACACAATCACCCCCCCTTCTCCATCCCTACTTTTACTTAAGACTGGGATGGAGGATGGGCACTGCTCTCACCTCTATTGAGTGCCAAAGGCCAGATATGGAGGCTTTGGATTTTTTTTTCTGTTGTGCGTGTCTCTCTTCTCTCCTTAATGTGACATGTCTTGTTCCAGTGATCAAAGGCTCTGGTGGAGTGTGGGAGATAGGCCTGTCAAAAAAAAAAAACGCAAGCAACAAAACATGGGGGGGGGGGGGGGGGAAGGAACTTGGAGCTGCCCAAGCACAGTGGAGGCAGCAATGCTGATAGAAATTAAAGTGGGTTGAAAGCAGCATGAGATTTATGATAGTTTTCATTTCAAACCTTTGCACTTGTAACACTTGTTGGACAATAGGCATCCTAAAATAATCAACTGCAACAGCGGGATACAAGGAGAGAAAATAAGTCAAAGCTCAAACTCTTATACTTGCGAATAATTTGGAACATTTTTATAAAAAATCAAAGGGGGCGCACACAGAACACCAAATAAAATGTAAGTAATTTAAGTAAAAATTGTAAAATGAAGTAATATTTATATATAATGTCCACAATAGTCTGCTTTGGTTTGAGTAAAATGGTAACCCTTTAAAGGGAACATGCATCTGCAGGTACTTGCTAAGTTTATGTCTGGGTACATGTGTGTTAACATTGCATGTGTTCTTTACACAATTCCAAATGTTAATTCAACATCCTGACATTTTTTCTTTTAATTTCATCAGCAAATTTAGTGTGCGGTTATACTCTAAATAGCTGAATAAGCACACTGTCTTTTAATTATACGTTTGCAAACGGAGTTCACATTGTGATCATACAGTAACATGTGCAAAGCCTGACTTACTAAAACTGTATGAAACCAAAGGATGACCTATTTACACTCCGGCAGTTTAGGGGTGAGAACTAGAGCATGCCTAAATAATTGCCTGTAAAAATGCTGTAGTTATAAAACATATCCATGTCACTAAGAACACAAACTGCGACACGTTCCGCTAGAAGCAGTTGTAGCTACAGCGCTGGCTAGTGTTTTTCAGAGTTTACATAGCTCAGCAAGTCTGTTATGCCAGGGCCCATTCTTTATTTAGTTAAGGAATGTTATATCAGAGATGGATGTTTAATTTAACTAGAAAACATTAGCCAGGGCAGCCGTTATGTCCACTGGCACTGCAAAGAGAAAAAAAAACTGAAATATAATGAAGCTGTGTTTAAGCTCAGAAAAAAATAAAGAGAGAAAAAAGTAGACAGAGAGAGAGTAAAATCATTAATATTTTTTTTACGTTTTTAGAATTAAATTCTTGTATTTTAAACTTATCAGAAAAAAAGTTTTTCTCTAAAAAATACCGGTAGGCTATCTGGTTCTAATGTGTATGACAGGGACTCTACACTACCTTACAAGGGACCCTTGTGAGTTCCTTCAGTGGACAATGACATATGAATTGATCTCCAAGCCCTGTCTACTCTATCTAAACACTGTACATGATTCAAAATGAATTTTGAGTCTTTTTTGGACTATTGACTATTTGGACTATTGATTGCTTAGTGTGACAAAGCCTATGATGTTGTTCCACAGCTCCTGAAAAAAGTTTGCAAGTTGGAATTATATTTCTATATCTTTAGGGCAGTTACATAAAAAAAAGTTAATGTCCTAAAGATAGAAAATATAAAAAAATAGAAAGTATCATTTATTTTCCATAATTGCAGCTGAGAGGTCTGCACACTTAGAGAATATTTCATGAAGAAGCTAGCTATATAATCCAGTTTGTAATACACCTAAGGATAAAATATCATTTTTAAAGCCTGTTTTGGAGAGTTGGATTTTTTTTTCTCCTCTGTGCTTTACATAACATTCTGTACTAATCCTGCTTGCTGTCAGAGATGTTTCATGGTTGTGCAATTGCTGTGGTGAAGAATGCCAATTTGCATTCCAGGAGTGTCATTTGATTACTTTTATCTGCTCTGCTCCAAGTCCATCCCAGACCTCTCATTTCATCTTTCCATGTCACGAGTCAATGCTGTGTCCTCTTTTCAAGAAAAAAAAAAAAAACCCGCCTGCTTAAGACAAGAGAGAAAAAGCACTTTCATGTTGCAGCATTAGTCCCTCTTTAAGTTGTCAGCAGCAGGGTATGATTCACTTGGGCCTAGAGAGATGGAACAGAAGAGGGTTATGCAGTTCAGAAAGCCTATGGACAGGTACAATGTAACATCCCCGGAGAGGCTGCTTAATGAAGACCAGGTCTGCAGAGTTCCCCACACTCTGACCTGGTGATGTCCCTGCAGTTTTCTTATTTGATCTCTTCTAGTGAATAGTGAATTGATCTTTTTTTTTCCCTTGCTTGAATTTTTTTTTTTTACTTCCAACTCAGCCCCCAAGGGACACAGATGACCAGATTGACTTGGGATCTGTTTGAAGGTAGATATGTTAACATACTGTATGAATTGCGTGCCTGTTTGCTGAAGCATCCTCACATAAATTAAAATTTCACAGATCTGCGATAAAGCATCAGAGTAAGGGTTAAACGTGCATTTTATGTCAGGAGTTCTGAGGTGTGCGCTCTTTTGCAGTCGCTGTTTTATCAACAATGAAGCTTTTGTGGAGATGAGGTGATGTGTTAAGTGCCAGCTGCGTGCTCTGTCTTGTACTGTATTATGGATAACATATTTGGAAGCGTGTTTTAAAATAAGCAAAAAGGATTAAAAGATATAGGCATACTTTTTGGCAATGCGTCAAGAAACCTTATTTCCTATGGTGTCACCTCTATAAATCCTTTATATTTTTTACCATGCTGCGATACATTCTTTATCATTTTTCAAAGTTGCGTATTACTAATAAAAAATAGTGTTTTTATTTTTTTTATTAATTATGGTAAAATATATTTTTTTTTTCACTGTGCGTATTTACTCCGAACCCAAGAGCATCATAGGGGACAGATTGTTTGCCCCACTATCCTAACATGCCCTTGACATGTCTAGTCTGTAGGAATGGCTCAAAAGTAAGGGAAAATGAAAGTGGGTTTGTTTTTTACAGCTAACAGTTCAATTCCAGCTGTCATTTTTGCTGTGCTGATTTGAATCTAGTCAATTAAAGTCCCTTTAAGATTATGGACAATGTCAAGGCACACTCTAAAATTATGGACAGTCCCAAGGCACCCTTTAAAACTATGGACAGTCTTGAAGCACCCCATTCTAAAATGTAAAAAAACTATTAAAATACTATTTTATATAACACAGCAACATCTACACATGTAGGACACCCAATGTTGGAGCTAATTTGTTCTTTGAAATCAAATACACTTTTGCACACTGGTATTGACTAGCATTCCATTGTTTCTCTTCTCCCTCAGTTTTTCTCTATCACTCAGCTAATGTGACCCCAGTACTGATGGAGAGGGGCAGGGGAGGGTCAAACAAATATGCTGTGCAGGTAACTGACATCCTCCTTATCAACTGATGATGTCATTGGTTGTCAGGACACAGACGGCTAGAAGGTCTAATGGTGCACAATGAAAACCTGTGGCTTTGTGCAACTAAAAGGTAGGCTTGTTCCACTAGCTGGCTTGTATACAAGTTTTGGGCAATTTGTAGACATTTTGCCAAGGCACCCCTGAGGAAACCTCAAGTCACCCCAGGGTGCCTGGGTACCCTGGTTGAGAAAGGCTGAGCTAACATACCCAGTTATTAGGCCGGCCATACATGGATCGAAAATCGACCAATTTTTCGTCCAAAAATCGGACCTAAGAATAATCAGCTGATTTTCGCTCTGTTAGTGGGTCAATGGCACCAGCCCCTTTTTGGTGATCAGGTGTGTTGGAAAATTTGTGAAAAACTACCCATTTTCGACTCAAAGATGGTCCATTCATACGATCGTTTTTCCAAAAAGAATATGTGCATGAGTCGTGACCTGGAAGGAACAGAAGTTTTGCATGTTATATGGGGTGAACTTTATGACTTGGTCATCCGATTTTCTAAATCAATGATGGCACCATCGGATTACCAAGTGAACAACATTTTGGATTTTCAGCAATATTCAACTGGCATGACCTACGTCTTAACATTTAGCTACAGATTTTTTAAAATGTAAGAAAAATCGTTTGGAATTTGAACCATGTATTGCCTGCATTAGGGGCTGCTGCTTCATTTTGCCTTTGCAGCAGAATTTCTAAAACAGATTATTAAGAATGATTGTAAAACAACTGGATTCTTGTATTGGTAAAATGGACATATTTATTATTATTATTATCCAGGATTTATATAGCGCCAACAGTTTGCTCAGCGCTTTACAATATAACAGGAGACAATACAGCAACAATACAGTTCAATACAAGAGGGATAGGAGGGCCCTGCTCCTTGGAGCTTACAATATAGGTAATGTTCAATTTGGCCACACCAACATTTTTAAAAAATGCTTTTTATTTATGATTGGCGAAGATAAAGGTACAACCATTGAAAAAATTCCAATGAGCAGAGTTACAGGGAATCCCAATTGTAAAGGAACCAGGATAATCAGACATAATATAACAGTATCCTTCACATAAAATGCATTACATATCCAGTAACTGCCCTTGGACAAAATCCCTGTTAGGTTTCGTAAATTGTTTCGCTGCACCAACATTTAATGGAGACTTTGTTTTCTTATTTTCGCACTTATTCTGTCCTAATGATAATCAGCTTAAAAAAAATTATTGAGTGTGTGTCAAGGCAAACATAATAAAAAAGAAAAATCCCTACCTTCTTCATTTCTGATGGATTACAGAGAACACAGACCTCTCTTCATCTCATCCCCTTCCTCATCTCCATAACCCCTCCTTGTGCTCAGGTAGCAAGCACAGAAAGTTATCAGCTCACAAGATTTCTTGCAAAATCAGCGGGTATTTTTTTTGCAACAAAATACTTTCAATGGTATATTTAGCAGACCAAAAGGGAGTTTTAATCTTGACATATTTCCTACTATCCCCTATGAAGTTAATTGTAGATTAAAGGTATAGTCCATTTCTTAGACCATGGTAGACCCCTATTAGGGTATAACATGAAGTACTGTAAGGCAAGCCATACATTAACCAATTCTCTTTTCTTCAACTAAGGGTTGAAAGAAATAAAATTACTCAATTTCCCCATCAACACATTCCGTGTTGATGGTGGAAGCCATCCTGCTGATCTATTATATTCTGACAGTGGGAGGTTTCCCTGCTGTCAGAATACAATAATCACTGCTGCTGGTTATAGCCATGATCAAACGAATAAAAAAAAAAAACAATGGGTTAGTTGTACTGAAGTTAATCGATAGATCAACTTTAGTACAACCAGCCCGCCCATACCTGGATTTAAATTCAGCGGGCTCAGCAGGAACTGTATGAATTTCAATCCAACTATAGCTGGCTTAAAGGATAAGTTCTCTTTAAAAAAAAAATAAATGCCCATTTTTTTGGAGGTAAAAAAAAATTGCATTGACTAAACTTTTTTTTGGAGCCTCTAAAGCAGTGTTTCGCAACCTTTTTTTTCAGTCAATGCACCCTTTAAAATTAAGGACAGTCCCGTGGCACCCTTTAAAATTATGGACAGTCCCAAGGCACCCTTTAAAACTATGGACAGTCCCGAGGAACCCTTTAAAATTGTGGACAGTCCCGAGGCACCCTTTAAAACTATGGACAGTCCCGAGGCACCCTTTAAAATTATGGACAGTCCCGAGGCACCCTTTAAAATTATGGACAGTCCTGAGGCACCCTTTAAAACTATGGACAGTCCCGAGGCACCCTTTAAAATTATGGACACTCCCCGAGGCACCCTTTAAAACTATGGACAGTCCTGAGGCACCCCATTCTAAAATGTGAAAAACTATTCTAATAGTTTTAAATAACACAGCAACATCCACACATGTAGGACACCCAACATTAGAGGTGATTTATTCTTCCAAAGCAAATACACATTATTTGCATGCTGGTGCTGACTAGCATTCCATTGTTTTCTTCTCCCTCAATGTTTCTCCATCACTGAGCTAATATTACCCTAGTGCTGATGGAGAGAGGCAGGGGAGGGTCAAACTAGGATGCTGTGCAGGCAGCGGACATCCTCCTTATCAACTGATGATGTCATTGGTTGTCAGGACGTCTGCGACTAGATGGTTGTAATGGTGCACAAAGAAAACCTGTGGCTTTGTGTAGCTAAAAGGCATGCTTGTTCCACCAGTGACTTTTTTTAGACATTTTGCCAAGGCACCCCTGAAGAAACCTCAAGGCACCCCAGGGTGCTTGGCACACTGGTTGAGAAAGGCTGCTCTAAAGCACTGTGCCAGCGATCAGCAGATTGCTGGTGCCATACAGGTCTCCTACAGACTTTTCAGTGTAATCTGTGTGCTCATACTTGTACGAGCATTTCAACACTGACAGGAAGACTCAGTGAACTACCACAGCACTCAACAGCGTTGTTGTAGTTCATTGAGAACTACAAGCCCACAACCGCAATGGATGTCGGAACTTGTAGTTCATTCATTTACAGAACTGAATGAATGACGTGGCCGTGTGGGTGAAACCCCTGTACGGCCATGCTGTTTTCAAAAAGTGACAGCTATTACGGGGAACTTCTCCCTATACTGCTGTCACAGGGAGGGAAGGGCAGCAGGCAGTGGCTGCAGCATTGGTAACATAGTATGTGTTCCATCCTAAAAAATAGGTGGAATATGTAACATGTTTCCAAAGGTAAACATATACAATCAACCATAAATTCAAACCACATTCATGGCTTCTTCTGGCTCCTTAGCAGAAGGTCTGCTCCTCTGTATTGTTTTGGTGTTGGGGGTAACCAATACAATAGTCCATGCATTACACCACAATGAACTGATCATGGTTGCAATGCTCTGTAATGCAAACATTTAATAAATGCAATTTTTTATTTCTTTGTTGGTAAATGTATTCTTAAAAAGAAAAACAAAAAAACAGGTGGATTATGCTTAGTTTATATATACCAGTGATGGCGAACCTTTTTGAGCCCGAGTGCCCAAAACTGCAACACAAAACCAACTTTTTTATTTCAAAGTGCCAACACTGCAATTAACCACTTGCCTACCGGGCACTTCTACCCCCTTCCTGCCCAAACCAATTTTCAGCTTTCAGTGCTGTTGCACTTGACAATGACAATTGTGCGGTCACACAACACTCATTTTTTTCACACAAATAGAGCTTTTTTGGGTGGTATTTAATCACCACTGGTGTTTTATTTTTTTGCATTATAAATGAAAAAAGAAGAGCAAAAAATTAAAAACATAAAAGGTTTTCTTTGCTTCTATTATAAAATTTTTTGCAAACAGGTAATATTTCTTCTTTGATGTGCATTGGTGAGGCTGCACTGATAGGCAGCACTGATGGGCATTGATGAGGCGGCGGCACTGGTGGGCATTGATGAGGAGGCACTGATGATGCACTGATATGCAGCAATGATGGGCACTGATAAGCGGCACTGACTGATAGCACCAACTGGAGGCACTGACAGACGGCACTGTGATCACCGGCAGCACAGGGTGTGTGCCACTGGGTTCGCATTCTGGGACGCCCTCCCTCCCAGTATCAGACAACCACGCTGTAGCCATCTTTTTGCTATAGCATGGTTGGCAAGCAGTTAATCTCACCTTCTGGCAGTGTCGGTGTGGCTTCCAACCCAGCAGCTCATTCCTATCCACACGCTGAACACGTCGCCCCTGCCCCCCAGAGCAGTATGGGAGCCTCTTCCTCTCTTCCATGCCCATGCCCAGCTACATCACCCCTGATGCCAGATCCGCATAGGAGCCGTTTCCTCTCGTCGTCCAACACCCACCCGGGCCCCAGAGACATGTGGGAAATGTAGTTTGATGGGGGTCCAGTGTGGACGAGATCTGGATGGCCGGTCATGTACGTGGTCTGTGTGCGCTCATCTTCCTCTTCTTCCTGGCGTGCCCACTGAGATGGCTCTCTGCGTGCCAGCTCTGGCACGCGTGCCATAGGTTCGCCATCACTGATATACAGTTGGCTCCAGTACATCACTACCATACAGGCCTGTACAGTCTATTCTGGAGTATATGTATATGTGCACTTTCTGTATCTGCCTGGTTCATAGTTCTTGACAAAAATACATAGTTTATAGTAGGGCAGTTGTCATGACAACTTACAAAACAATAGTCCATGCATTGCACCACAATAAACTGATCATGGTTGCAATGCTCTGTAATGTTGTCATGACAACTTCACTTTTTCATATGTGTGCATTTTATGAGAAATCGCATGTATAAGAGTGTTTTTCAAATACTAATTCCAGGAGCCTGCATTCACTATATCTGGTCTCCCACAGCACATAGAATATGGGAATGCAACTATTTTAGTAAATATAAAATGCTAAATACCTTTTCTAATCAGCAGTAAGAGCAGTCTTGTGGCTTCTATCAGTGTCAAGCTGAGCACTGGTTAAAGCTTGTAGGTGGAGTTTTCATTCCCTTTTCACTGTCCTATGAGGCTGCAGGATCCCTGATCCTCTGTCTGAACAGTGCTGATTAGCCCTGTGCTGATCACATGTGGCCTCCCAAGAAAAAGAAAAAACTCTCCAGCAATTCACACTAAATTGAGCATGTGTAGCTTGCCCTCAAGGCTGTGTTCTATCAGGAGATTAAATTGGGACAGTCAGGAGTGGACTGACAACTCATGGGGCCCCCGGGCAATAGGGGATCATGGGGCCCTTGTGTCCTTGCCCAAACCTCAAAAAAGCCTATGAAAAAGGTACCAGGGGCATCTCATGGGGCCCCCTACTGACCCCGGGCTGTCGGGCAGTGCCCAAGTTTCCAAATGGTCAGTCCGCCCCTGGGGACAGTAGAAGAAGAGGAGGATCAGAGAAGATAGGATCAAACATCCTTTTTACACAATGCAGAGGATTAACCCCTTAGGTTCCACAGTGAGTATGACAAGCATGTTTTACTGCATATACAGACTGGTTTTTACCATTGTGGGTTTAGTAACACAAATAAATACAAGTTAATACAAAAAACAAACAAACATATTTTAACAAACTTTTAAAGCACGTTTTCTATTTTTGTAAACATTTAATAGACTGTGGCATGTTTGGGAACCCTGTCACCCCATGTGGCTGGAATCACAAACTCCAAGCATTTCTTGTCAGTTACCAGCCTTTCTATTCTGGCTTTTCCCACTCTTCCTTGCAGCATGCTTCTAGTCCAGCAATATTCAACTGGCATGACCTACGTCTTAACATTTAGCTACAGATTTTTTAAAATGTAAGAAAATGCAAACACTGAAGAAAAAAAATGTTTACCACAAAAAGGAAGAACATACCAATAGTGATCAGTCAGATTCCTTGTTTAATTGACCAGAGATTAAAAGATGAAAACTAATTTGTAATTTTAGGCAGGTTATTTTGCAGAGAAACTTTTATCTCTGTAATTGTAATGAATAGAATGCTTATGAACTTAGCAAAATGTAATTTTTTTTACCAGTGGTGCCTAAAGTTTTATATATAATTATATACACCCTGTCTGTCTGGGGCACTTTCTATACCTTTACTACTGTAGTAAGAAAAACAATCAGCATATCTGCATACTGACATGTTATACCTATTTGTGTAATGTGAGTTTTAGAAGTCCTTTTACTAAAACAGACATAGCATCAGATATTTTTTTAAAGAGGAACTCTGGTTTAGGTAAAATGTTTTTATTTAAGCAGAATTAAACCCATAAGCAAACATTGATGTGATGGATGCATTAATTTTCTTTTTTAGGCTTTCTTTCTTTTATTTTTAACTGGTGATCCAGCTATTAAGTCTATGTTTTTCAAAAACTCAAGTTCTCCAGCAGAATGCATCAGCTTACCTGGATGAGACAATCCATTTACCACTGTCAGGGGTGATTAAAATGATGAGCTTTTATTTATTCATGTAAAACCTTTATCCCAAAAGGAAAAAAAAAAGTTTGCTGTAATTGAATAAAGTGTGAGCTGGAGTTTGCTTTCAATTAGTTACTGGTTTTTAAATCTGCTAATATATCTAACTCTCAGCTCCACTCAAGATTGACAATGTTGCTGTCTACTGTGCCTCCTGTGCTCATTCATCCAGAGTTATGTATCACTAATATAGGAGGTGTGTTGCTGGCCAGATCACTAGGTGAAAATAGAGGGGATAAAGTCAAACAATGGAAACTGATGCATCCACCAAATCTAATGATTAGTAAGCTGCAACATGTAAAATTTTTTGGTTTTGGGTTTAATACCACTTTAAATCGCCTTTTTATATCTATAAATCCTCACTGAGGTCTAGCATCATTTGTCTTACTATTTGGACGACACCCAGCGTCATTGGAAGTGCTCCCTGGCTGGAACAAATTATCACACTACCATGGGCTCACAGGAGAGGGCTGTTGCTTGTGTAGTTCTTGGCTGCATTAATGTTTGACAAATATTGGCCCCTGTTGCTGCCTCATGCCTTGCAAATTGCTACAAAGTTAGAAGGTTACAGTCTGAGCAATGGGGTAAAAGAGACCAAGAAAATGCTTAATCCTGCCTGCAGCAGACTGGTGTCACCTTCTCAGTCAAGGCAAAGTCAACGTACTGAGGGTTAGGGACTGTTTTTTTTTTAATGATGAAAAGTAAAACTTTTTGAAAAAGTTTGTTGTGCCGGCTTTATTTTGACCATACAAGCCCAAAATGCATGTTTCAGACAGGCTCAGAACCCTTCATTTTGCAAGCAGGCCCTTGGGTTGTAACAGGCTATTGTATGATCTGGCTTGTTGTTAGTATTCCTGGCATACTGCATTAAAAACATGCAGAGACAGCCAATCAGCTTTTGCAATGTGTAAATGTACTATTGCATTTTGTATTTTGCCTAAGGTTCCAATTTAGTCTTAAAAGCCCAACCTCGGGCAATTACAAAAAATACCCCTTGCAGTTTGGCTGTGCCCACACTGCAAGGAATAATTGCTTGTTTAGGGCTAGGGGAAAAAAGAAGATTTACTTACCTAATCCTCCTCACTGCTAGACTGGTCCCCTAAGCCCCCCCCCTCCCAGGATTCCAGGATCATGATGTCATCAGGACCAAAGCAATATCCATATCTCTGCATTGGATGTGATGATGCTGAGGGATAGTCCACTGCCGCAGCATGGGGGAGCACCATTTGCCGGCGGAGCGGAGGAACAGGTAAGTAAAATTGTTTTGCCTTTCCCCTAGACAAAACAAGCAGCTCATCCTTGCAGTTAATTCCTTGCCCCACTGCAAGAAATAAATAAAAAATTAAAGTTTGACTTTTCCAGGCAGGGGCTCAATTCATGAAGAGTTATTTTCCTCTTAAAATATGAGATATAATAACTCGTAGCATTTTTTTGCAGTTTACAAAAAACTCTACTAAAATAAAGCATGAGTTGTTTCATCAAAATGTGAGGTATATTACTCATGAAACCATGCGGTATTCCATCTCATGATGTGATATCCAGTGGAATGGATACAGTGGAGAAGGATTAGAACTTGTGTCAGTTTTTATTGCTAATAAAGAGGTAAAGTGTTTTAATCTGTAGAAATATGCCAACTCACTAAGTCAGTGCGGTGCCTGCAGCATATGTGATAATACAAAAGAAAAAAAGATGACTACAATACCAGACAAAGGGAAGCTGCTTTTACAGGACACACATGGTATATCAAGAACAACTAACTTAAATTTGGTAAATACGAAACATCTCTATAACTGACAAATATTGATGAAAATAGTTTTTAATAAATCAAACATGTAAATAAACTCCCTTCTTCCACCAATAAAAAAGGGGTGATTTTCCTTCACTTCCAGACCCAGTGTTTGCATTGGAAGATTTCCCCTCTATTACTTTTCTGGGGACAACCCAAAATTTGGGATTTTCTTTTACTTTCACTTTCAATGATAATGGTAAACATAACAAATACAGAGGGTGAATCTCCCTATTAGGGACACAGACAGCAATAAAAACCTGACCAGGGGTCTCATCCATCCCCACTCCATCCAAAAGAAAAAAGTTTTGCCTTTAGTTATACTTTTTGTAAATCAGCCCCAATAATTCTCTGTTTTTCCATATTTTGCTTTCTATGCATTACTGTTGAGAAACCGATCCACACTGAGACTACTTCAATTTGCGATTATATTTTTTACATTCCTTTAATACCTCATGCCTAGATCTTTACTTATTTAACTCATTCATTTATTTATGTATTTGTTTATTTTAGTGCATTGACTTTAACATCATTTTATGAGGTAATTACCTCATGTACTTTGGTTTGTGAGGTAAATAGTTCATGAGGTGATAGTGAATTGACATTTTCGGCATCTCATGAGATAATTTGGAGAATTGGAGAATTGAGTTTGAGGAGGACACTGTATTACAGTCTCCTATTCATGGATATTCATGGATATAGCAAAAGCCTTTTTTGTTACTTTTGAGATATTTCCCATTTTCTTTGCATTCCTTTTATTTTATTGATATATATTATTAACATTTAAGATTTATCTGATTGTGCCTGTACATGTTCCCTAATGTGGTTATGAAAAATATTGTATATTTTTAATGGCAAGAACGGTATTAAAGTTGTATTGGTTATTTGTATTGTATCTCTGTATTTTCAAATTACATTGCTTTTTTTCCTTAAAAATGTATGAACTGCATATCGAAAGAGTTAAAAGTATGTTGTTTAGCAGTTTTCAGCTTCAAGGACAGTCTAGCAACTGGAAAATGTGTTTTTTTCCCCTTTTGCTAAAATTTCTGAATGAATTGAGCAACAATTTTCAACCAGATGCACAGGCTGTATTATTTTTAAAAAACCCAATAAAAAAACCTTTATGTCCATTATTAAGCGGTCCTCAAAAGTTTTAAAAACTTCAAGGGAGAGAATTGCTTCTGAATAAAAAAATTCAAGGATAATACTTCGCAATGCAAATGTTTTTTTATTAAATATTCTTCTAAGCAGGTACATTTGTTGAGACAAGAATTTCACTAAAATGTCGTGTTGCAAAGACACAGAAATTTTTAACAAGATATAAAACCCTGTAATTGTACTTTATACTATATTACCATGTACCATATCCATGTTTTATTGTGTTGAGATTTTATTTTTTTCCTGGACGTACAAGATATTTTAAGAACTAAACAAAGCATTTTTATGTTTCAAATAGTGACAAAACGTTTATGCAACATTTGAGTCAAGATTGTGAATGAGGTTCCCTGATCTATTTTCAGTTCACAGAGATTTTTAGAAGCTTTATGTGTCAATAGGTTTCTGGTGAGAAGTAGTTTTTTTTTTTCACTTTGTTTTTTTTTGTAATTCTGTTGTATATGATTGGATACCTGCAATAGACAAAGGTTCATTTGACCTAGGGTTCCAAAAACTCCTTAAAGAAGACTGATCACAACCTGGGCAATTTAAACTGAACATATGATTGAAAAAATGTATAAGTAGAAATGACCAACTGACTATCAATGTGGTCAATAGAGCTGGAGACATAGGCAGTGGAAGTTATATCCAAATCTTAAAGTGGTTGGTTCTGTCTTAAAAGCAGGAGGTTATTTTTTTTTACCTTAATACATTATCTGCATTAAGGTAAAAATGCTCTGAGATCATTTCCCTTCCCCAGCCCCCTTTAAATACTTACCTGAGCATGATCTCAATCTGGCTCTGTGCCCTAGAGCAGTGACTCTCTCCTCTCTCTCCTCTCTCTCCTCTCTCATCTCACTGGACATGGAGGCAGCAGTGGGAGCCATTGGCTCTTACTGCTGTCAATCAAATCCAGTGAGGCAGGAGCAGGGATGGTGGGGGGGGGGGGGGGGGGGTCCGAGCCACAGTGTGGGTGTCAATAGATGCACACAGCCCAACCTGGTATCCAGGCACACAAGTGTCAGGGCAGTTGAGGCTGCTCTGTGCAAAACCATTGCACAGAGCAGGTAAGTATAACATGTTTATTATTAAAAAAATAAAATAACATAAAATAGAACC